CTTCCAACCCAACTATTTTTTGATTTACTGTCTGCTCTCACTGCTATATTCACTAAATACTCAAAAATGAAAAAAAAAGGTTCTGCCGTTGTACCTTTTCGTGTAACATGGTTTCAATGATGAGTCCCCACAGGTCTGTGAAACATATCTGATGTCCTTCCTTTTCCCTCTGGCACAACTCTTTCAAATAATATTTCAGACGATCGGGTGCAAAGCAAGTAAGGAACTTATTTTTGAGCACGTGTTTTCGGGCATCATTGAGTGTTTCCTTAAGATCCTTTTGGGACCAGTCAGGATCTTCATACAAGTTTGACATGGTCCTAGAAAACAAAACCAAAACCACACAGGGAATAGTGTGAGTTCTGAAGCAGAGCTTTGGGAAGTTATGAAGGTTCATGTGTGATGCCTTGATTTACATGAAAATGCATGTGTGTGTGATATACCATCCACATATTTAATCAAGACTGAATTAATTCCAAATGTAGGCAGATACCCAATGAAGGAAAAAAAGACATAGCAGAGAAAGAAAGCCCTTTCTTAAGAGTAGAGGTGATACAACTCTTAGATCATGTCTTGACATCACATACAGAAAATTCCTGTGAAGACTTTGCTTATCTTGGCCTTACCATGTTGTGCCAGATAAACCAGTGATGTATGAGACACAGTCCAAGACGTTCAGTTCCTGCACACTGAGAAGGTGAGCATACATGGCTGTCAGAGCTCTTGTTCCACCACCCGTTGTCATGATTGCCACCACAGGTACCTGTTCAAAACCATATGCATTTAGTGACATGATCTGAGAAGGGAGAGAGACATCTTTGATTAGAAAAGAGTTACAGTACTGATAAAGTAATGAAGATGTTGTGTTCCACCAGTCTGCAAGAAGAACAACCTCAATCAATAACAGGGCATAGAAGGAGTAAGAAATACTTCAAGCTTCCTCTGCCAAGCAGCTGTGTGTTAGGATGTGAAATCCATCGTCTCAAACACCACATTTTTAGTGTTCTATTGCAAAACAAATAACACAGACAGCAAAACACTAGAGGGAATTGTACCTGCTGCCATCTGAACCAGAATTTATCAGATGCAATAGACCAGAAGAGATAGGTGATGCCTCACAGTTTCCACATGAGAAGTAATAACCTTTCTGTTACTGAAGTTCTGTGATGATACAGAAATCCAGAGTCTGGTAGTTGTAGAACAATTTATCCATAAATATAAATTGGTGGAATTAACACTAAAGATAGCTGCCATGCATTGGAGTGAATTGTTCTCTTGTGCAAGACATCAGGAGATTTTAGGGAGATTGTTCTGAAGGAAAGAATGGGAGCCTTTACATCTAAGGGGAAGAAAATGGACCATGGCTTAGTCCTGGCAATGTAAAGGCAAGGTCTTGTGTGTGAAAGGTCCAGCTGTGCAAAAAAAACCCTGCTGAGCACAGTTTAAAGCAAAACAAGGAAAACTTGTCATCTCTGCATTTTTTTTTTTAGTAATTTAAAAAAGACAATCATGATTTTTCCTTGCCTTGGACCCTCTGCCATTGTCCCCATTTGCCAAACACGTGCATGCTCTAGCTGCAGCAGATGATGAAGTCAGAGTGGCAGCATGCTATGCTGACACAATGGGAGCCTAAATGCTGACAGAAAAGGCACAATAAGGTAAAGTCCAGTTTGAACCGTGAGGGAAAGAAGCACTGATTCAATGGTCTAGATCTAGCCAAGATGACTGTGAGGCCTGAAAGAAGCTTTGGCTTTGGTCCCGAGAGCACCTAACCCTTCTCTGCATTGTTGTGCAGACTGCTACTCAACACAAAGCTAGAAACTGTAGCAACAGAGCTACTGGTTTTTATTGATGTCCCCTCTGAGTACTCATTTCTTCCCTAGACTAGAGGAGCCAGCCATAGCTCGCACATGAAACTTCACACTATTTCCAGGAAAATGGGAGTTGAACACAGATGCTACATTTTAATACTCAGCTGTGGAGAAAGGAGAGAATATCAGAGGTGTCAGATACCTCATCATCCTGCAAGTCCTCCTCCAGCTGGAGGACATCCTTCAGAGCAGCTGCAACCACCTTCTTCCTCTTGCGAATGAAATCCTTCTCCTGGGCACACAGGTCAAACCCCAGCCGTACGTCTAGGTCTTCCTGGCTGGAACAGAGGATCAGGTGTCTCATTTATAGTCTAATTCAGCATTTTAATGACTTCTACTTCTTAAATAGACATGCCTTCACCATCAGGTATATATAAAGCAAAGCAGGAAGAGGTGAAATGTTTTCCTTTGCTCCTGGAGAATAACAGTGTGTCTTCCTATGGACTGAGAGAGTCTCTTTAATTTTTTATTCCTTGCTGAAGAGGCCTGAAATTAAATATAGCTGCAAGCTGGAGCCTTGTTCCCTTTCAGAGATGAAGCCAAAAGCCTGCAGAGGGCAGTGTATTAAAGGTGGCTTTTGGAAGCTGCCTAAATTTCCACTGATATTTGTGGACTGAAGTTGTGGACTTGTGTGTTCAGACTATTTTTTGCATGTAGTCATTTACGGGTATTTATAAGCACTACAGTTGCAGTTTGGAAGTTGTTATGAAAATCTCTCTTACCTGTGGTAAGGAAGAAGTTTTTAAATGACAGCTGTAAATTGTATGTATATCTCATGGCATATTTACTGAAAATAGACAAAATGATGAAAGATGCACGTGCTTTTTTAAGGGAAGGGAACTTCCTTTACAGTGTTACACAATATAACATATTCATCCTAGAAATTTTAATAAGGCTTTAACCATATCTCAAAATACACAATGTATTCCGTTGATTTAGAAATAACCAATCACTTGATTGAGTTAATTTGCATTTACCTCTTTGAGTAGATATTAAAAAAGAAATGCAGGTACATTTATTATTATTATTATTATTATTATTTTTAATCTGATAGAGTGGCCAGGCACTCTGACTTTACTCCTTTAGACTTTTTCTCTGACCTCAGGAAACAAAAAGGTTTCTTTCAATTAGTTTTGAAATGCTGCTTTTATTGAAAATCTGCATTTGGCACTAGTTTGTAGAGGTATCAAAGAGTGTCTCCACTCTTTTTGCAGCAAAATCTCAGTAGAGAATTTGTATGTTCTTCATAAAGTGTTTTCTTAGCTCACTATATAGCCTCACTACACAACTCACAGCCACTGAAAATCTCTGTACTGTGTACTGATTCCATTTCATTTTGTAGTCTGAAATGAGGATGTGCCAGCAATCAGGGCACAGGTAGCAACAAAGGGATTGGAACCTGACTGACAGCTATCCAAATTTAAAAAACTGAGAAAGAAGATAAATAAGATAACGTACCATTTTTTCAACTTGAAGTGTAGATCAAATTTTCTGTGCTGAAAATTAAAAAGGTAAAGTTACAAATATTTATATTTTGTTTAAAACAGTTCCTTTCCCCCAGCCAGAACGAGGCATAGCTTTTTTGGGTCATCATTACATCACAAAGCTCTGAACCTCAGTAAATGGAGATTGGAAGATAGACTCTCCTCTCCGTGTTTCATTAATATCCAGAGACATGCACAGATTTAATTAATTAAGACTTTGGTGTTATCATCTCCAGGGAGACCTTATCTACAACTACCTGAAAGGAGGTCTCTTCTCCCAAGTAACAATGGATAGGACAAGAGGAAATGGCCTCAGGATGTGCCAGGAGAGGTTGAGGTTGGATATTAGGAAAAAATTCTTCACTCGAAGGGTTGTCAAGCCCTGGAACAGGCTGCCCAGAAAAGTGGTTGAATCACTATCCCTGGACATTATTAAAAGTCATGTAGATGTGGTGTTTAGGGACATGGGTTTGCAGTGGACTTGGTAGAGGTAGGTTAATGGTTAGATTTGATGATCTTAAAGGTCTTTTCCCGTGTAAACAATTCTATGATTCTATCATCTGTAGTCAGCATCTTCTCTGAGGTGTAGCTTGTGCTGGTACTTCTTTGCTACAAAAATAAATAGCAGAAGAGCTGCAGTGCTACACCTCACCTCTCTGGAAGAGTCCACCATTAAACATGGGTCTTGAAACTAAAATCTCTCAGCAGCAATGTGAGATACAAGGGGAAGCTAAAGAGGCTGAGCACCCCGTAAGTGTGGCACGGGCTTGTCTCCTGTCGTAGTGTGCCAAGCTGCAGCCTCACCTCCTTGTCCAAGTGGCACTCAGTGACCTCCAGCCTAGCTAAGGACACAGAAAGTAGAAGAAGAATGAGCAATAGCTTAGACATTTTTCTTCTTTCTCCTTCTCCTCTGGATTTCCCATTTTATTTTGCCCCAGATAACTTACTTCATTAGGTACTGCCCTAGATTCAAAGGTTAGGATACACCTGGCTCGGGTAGAAAGGGAAGTGTCTTTTGGTTTCTGCTTTTTGGCAATAATTTTTAAAAGCATGCAGAGGATTCTCCATGGCCAGTGGACACTTACCTCACCAACTACTTCCTGCTCAGAGGGGAGCGACTTCAAAGGGAGAGTCAGGGGGATGCTTCTCCTTCGTGCTCCACAGGACATGCAGGCACACTGAAAAGGAGCATCGAGTGCTTTTGGTTAAGACAGAAATGTTCTCCTCTTGCTGCCTACTCACATGTAAAGATCAAATCATAGGACTGTCTGTGTTGTCTACCATGTTCTGAGGTAACGTACAAAGGTGGGAAGCCTCCTCTTCTTTGTGAGTGCAACATCCAGGGAGGGTTGCTTGTATTTGGCATAGTGGAAGAAGGTGGGATCTGGGAGAGGAGAGCAGGAGTCACAGCCCAGTGAAACTCTCTGCGTTTCTTCAAAGGATCCTTTCACTGTAAATGTCAGCTCATTCTCTAAAACAATGAGATAAAATGCAAACAAGAAGTTACTTTTATTTGAAAAAAAAAGCAAGAGAAGGAAAAAAGCAGCAAAACAGCCTTGAACAAATCCCTTCTCCTCTTCCTTTACATTTGGAAAGCTGACTTCTGAAAGTGATCCAAGACACAAACACTACAGGTAGTTGTGTCTTTATAATGGGCTGAGCAAGAAGCTGGATGGGAGTGCAGTGTGAACTGCACTGAATTTTAGACTGCTGCATTTCTATTGCAGTTGCATCAAGGCACAATGAATGCAACCAGGTACTTAGCTCTGTAAATCATCCCTCATCCCAGGCCAAATAATGAGAAAGAGAAGTCCTCAGTCCCCTAAACTAAGATCTGACTCTGCAGCAGATGACCCTATTTATATGAAGAGATCAGCTAATCCTGCCAATGTGCGTTATGCATGCTCTGAGATTGCCTACCAGATCCAGCCCCTCAGGGGATGTGGACAGAGGAACTTCTAGATTCTGGATCTTGATCAGGGTCAGGCAGGAGCCAGCTGCTGAGTGGCTAAACCCTGCAAAAAATGAGGTGTTTCTGTGCATATGCAGAAGTCAAACTGTGAGAGATCCTGAGGAAAATTAAGGCCATGAACTATCATGCTAAGAATATGAACTTCTTCAGGGTTTCACAATACTACAGCAGAGATTTGCAGGATCTCAGCTGGGATTTAGAAACCTTCTGTACAAGTATCTGATGTGGTTTCTAGTTTGGCACAAGGCTCCCCATGAAGTCAGAACCCTGAACCTACATCTGCTTCAGAACTGCTGGTGTTCCCTGCTGCAAAGTTTTTAGAAATCATCTTAGATTTGGCCAATTAGAGAAGTAGTATTTAGGCAATGAAATTTTTGGGCATTGTTAGAGAGGGTAAAATCATTCAGTTATAAAATTAATAAGCTTACCTGAAAAATGCTTCTTTTTCATCCTGCTGTCCAAGTGAACTTCCAAGCAGGCTACTTCACGAGACTAGAGTAGATGTGATGGGGACAGATAATTAGATTATTCATCCAGTGATCTCCCCACCACAGCTGGCAAATGGTGGAAGGGTCATTGTTGAAAGGGTCATTGCCTGAATGCAGTGGCAAACTGTGTTGGAGCCAAACTCAGTGAATGTGAGAATTAATTTCATTGTCACATGGGAAGACTGAGCTATGCTAAATTCACTGTAATTTTCAGTGGATGCAGGTAAAACCAAGGGAAATGTTAGCAGTCTGAAGGCTCCTCTAAGGTCATGCTGGCCCCTCCTCAGAGATAAAGTTTCTAAGAGAAAAAGTTCTTTACTAAAGAATGAGGACTTGCAATGTTTCCCTCTACTGTCATCATAGTCAACTATGGTAAGGAATGATGTGGAAAGAGCATAAGACAACAAAGCAAATAATATTTTACCACTATTGCCCCATTTGTGATGATGGCTTCAGGAGGACCCGGGCTAGAAAACAAGAATAAATAATACATTTATTTTATAAACAATATAATCTAGATGCTGTCATGAACAGGACACTTCATTTAATTTTTTTTTTTTCTTTTTTTTTTAATTTGCTCCTTCTTGTTTTTTGTAGAAGTAGAAATCCTTTTCATTAGATGCCACATAACTACCTGGCAGAAGTTATTCAGCTGCAATAAGGCACCTGGAAAGTCCTTGTAACAGCCTTAGTAGCACAGGTATGTCACAGATTGGGTAACAACATTCTCCTCAGTCATGAGCTGCCCAGAGAACGCTCTCCAGAAAATCTATAGACTTGCAGTAGTGGGTTTTGTGAGCCCCAGAAAACCAACTCTGAACTATGGAAGTAATACATACATTTTAAGAGAAAGTCACAGAATTATAAACTCTGAACTTGTTCTCCACATCGTGGCATTTTCCTTTCTTAAAGGGATTTGCTAATGCACACATTAAGTTTGAAAAATCTGGCTGTTAAGATGATACTGGGCATACAAAAGGTTCCCCTGCACTGATCCACCACCTCAAGCTGCTGCTCCCATAATAATGGGGTATTACTCACATGCTTTCCAATACAAACTCAACTTCCAGCTCTTCCTTCCTCTGAAAATGAAAGGAAAAAAGAAGCAGCCACAGTTATCATGTCCAGAAGTTTGCAAAGTGACCTTCATTTTTTCAGGCATAGCTTCCTCTCTGCTTTAATAAGTAACAATATTCCATTTTGTGCTTGCTCTTGTCAGTGTTAGAGGACAGGGGCAGCTTTTTCTTCCCAAAGGGAAAGAAGATATCAGATGTGCTAGCTGAACAATGCGTGTTTGGTGCTTTCAGATCTCCCTAGTAAACCTTTATTTTTCACACTTTCTTCCCTGCCAGCTTCTGTGGGCTGAACATGATATGCTAAGACATAGGGTTTAGTAAAGATTGTAGAAACAGGCCATTTTTCTGACCTTGTGCTGTTCTTCTTTTTATAGTCTTTGTGAGGATTCCCTGTCACTTTCTGCCAGATTATTAAAAGTGCAAAGCTTCCCTAAAATTGCCTCTCTTCAGGGGCTTGAGAAGGTTGTTTGTCACTGGTGTGCAATTTCCAAAATGTTAATAAATCTTAATACATTTCTACCCCAAGCTGGTGGTGAAAGACAGAAGAGACAGCACGCTTCTTTAATTAGAGGGAGAGAATGGATGCCAAGATGTACTAAATGTCTGATCGAGCTCTTACCTCTGGATTTAGTGGGAATGCCATAAACACTCAGGGGGATTTTAGCTACATCAAAAAGCACAATAGCATGGTCATCATCACGAATGATGTCATCATCAGAAACAGTGATTTCCAAAATATTCTGGAAAAAGAAATGAAAAATGTCCAATTTGTTAGCATGTATCCAAGAAGTATGACATATGACAGAGTATTTCTTCTCTTCTAGGTACCTGCTTTACAGAGGGGAAATAGAAAAGTACTGATGACAAAGTGTCACAAGGAAGTGTAAGAAAATTAGTGTAATCTTCTTTGTAAGAAACAGCTTCTGGTCTCTTCAGTTAAGGCCCAGCTGAGATTTCTCTTGGGTCACCTTTTAAGTGGCTGTCGTAAAGAATGAAATCTTTCAGAAAGGAATATAAATAGTCAGAATTCTTACTTTGCCCCTTATCAACAGGGGCAATAGAGGTCACTTCACATCAATAACCACCTTTATGGGTCTTCAGGCTTCCCACTTTCAGCCACCTGTTCACAGGTATTTGAGTGTAATTATCAGCAGCAAATTGAGTGAAGAGCTTAATCATATTAGAATTTAGAAATTTCCTGGCATTGATATACCCTTACTTCATGCCCTTTCAGGGGAAAAAAAGTAGTTTTCTGGTTTAGTATTGCTTGGTTTCTCTATGTTGTCTATCAGTAATCGGTCCCATCAGACTTCTCCAAAGAGGTCAGATTCACATTACTGATGTATAAATAACTACCTCTTAGGAGAGAAATAGACTCCAGCAAAAGCAAAAACCTGTTTTGCTTCAGCTTCCTAGAGGTATTTTAAGTAAACTCAGAAAGGTATTAGAAGACAGGACATCCTGTTTGGGGTTAAACTGAAAAAGGCTGCGTAGATGTGAGATGAGGAAGAGAGGTTTTTGTTTGTGTACCTTGACTTGTCTCTGTATCCGGAAGTAGAAAGTTTCATTCCATACAGGATTTCTGCAGTTTTTGATGGTTTGGGTGTGGAATTTTTCATCTGAAGCAGTTGGCAACCAGAGGCTGACGTAGCAGTCAGATTGGCTCACTGCAGAAACATAGGCACAAAATATCTGGCAGTGGAAGAACAACACCAGAAGCAGGGGCACTGAAATGCTCTGTAGCTTGAACATGCATGAGAGATGACCAGTTCTTTGTGATATACATTGGCCCAACCAGAAAGATAAATATCACACAGCTAGATAGAATTATTTTCTTACTCATAACACTATTTTTAATAGTGTATTCATGTAACTACACATAATCCCACATATTTTTTAAAAATACAGTCCTAGCCAACAGATAGTACGATGTATACTGTCAGAAGTCTTACATTGCTCCTTATCAACATAGTTTTATCTCTCTATAAATTGGGCAAGAGGAGAAACTGCAACTGATGCAGCAGAGAATGAGCCTCAGACCCTGAGGGGGATTGAGCATAAATTGCCTCTGCGACAGCTTAGCTATGTGAGAAATCTTAAAAAAATCAAGCTTGAGTCTCATTCAGATAATAAATATCTGAAATACCTGGTAATTAACCCTTCACATTGGAAAATTAATTGTTCCAGCTATCTAGATCATTGTCTTCATAGGTGGGCTGGGAAGGGAGAGGAGTACCAGCAGTACAATGGCTTCTTCAGGAAGTCAGTAGGTAGCTGGAACCTTTTCCTGGTGTTTGCTGATGTCTAAAAGACCTGGAAGCCAATTTCCTATTCCACATTTCCTACTCTCAGGAAAAATGAAGTGGCAGAAAGGGTTTGGATCTTAGAGATGAAGGGAGGTGAGCCTGCACTCTGTGATTCATGAACCAGGCAAACACCAAAGAGATTCTCAGACCCTGGACAGGAACTTTTTCAGAGGCAACTGGAAAGGCTGATCCGTCCTATTGTGTAAACACAGGCTTTGAAGATGACCTTGAAGATGAGGTGAAGAACCAGTAGGACAAAGCACATCCTCTTGCTGTGGAGAAAGGGGACTGTGCCATACCTGGGTTTGCCACCATTCACCTACGGTCCCTACTAACTGGGGAGAGGTTATTGTTCCCTTTAAAATTCCTCTGATTTTCTGTATTTTCCTTGAATTGTACAGGCAGTATCAGCTATGACAGTATCATGCTGTGACTCTAACAGAGCTTATGGATTTCTGTAGAAGTGGCAGTCCACTTGTAGCCAGGTTAAGCTGTGAGGCACACAGTGGGACAAATAAAAAAAAAATCACAGGATAGCTGGGAGATTGTTGAAGATTGTGATACCCTCATTACGTGGGAGCACTTGAAATTATTAACCAGGTTTTTTTTTTGCTCCCTCTTGTCACCGAAAAAAGTATACAAAAGAGACACTGAAAACCTTCCAGTTTATTTACTGCTGGGAGGTAATAAAAAAAAAAATAAAATTACATTGTCTTCATGCTCTAATTTTAATGCAATTGCTGGGCATCATTAACAATTTCATGCTATGCCAGGCCCTCACTTCAGTGCATGTGTTGCAACTTCATTCCCTGATGGCATAGTGTCAGCCCACGTGGATGCTGAGACATAGGAACTCACAGTCTCTTTGGAAGTCAGCACTAAGTGACACTGATATCCTTCCCCATTTTTTAACAACTCCTGGTTCAATTGCATTTGTGTGTTGGTGGACCTTTGTCTTTTAGCTAAAGATGGGCTAAAAAATCAGGACTGAACCAAGAAGTTCAGAACTGCAGCCAGCTGTTTGCTGCTGTGTGAGAGAACAGTCCTGTGACATTTTCCTGAAATGAGCCATTGCATGCTAAAAATCATTCATCACCATCACAAGTAAGAAGAAAACTACAGAAAACCAAAGCATGTAAAGAAAAACGAATCTCTTAAGAACAATAAATGTCAGCTATGAAATCCTGTCCACCCTCACGCTGCATTTCGTAACACTAAAAAGAAGAAATCATTTTCTCCTGGTGAGTTCCTCTCCACCTGCACAGACAGGTTCCCCTTGAATCCTAGTTTGCTACTGAAAGGAGGAGGACAGCCACTCCCATTTCTCAACCACCAGACAGGGACTCCAGGGACTTTTCCCCTTACCTACGCACTGTGATGCAAACAGTACAAAGAAATTATCTGCAGCTGCTGTCTGAGAGCTGATTCCAACTGAACTCTGTCCTCTAAAGAACCAGATGCTACACTCATCAATAAGCTTAATATTACTCTCTGTAGCTTGCTTGTAGAAATAACAAGTGCTCACAGATCTACCGTGCTTAATCAGTGATATCTTTTACCAGGAGAGCACAGAGCCCCTGTGTGAATGAGCCCTCTGCCCTGTCCAGCCATTTAAGGTGAGTGGCAAAGTAGGATTTGGTCCCTGGAGCACAGATTCAGTGG